GTGTCTACGTGAAAGAACATGTGGAGAGAGTCGTATTGGCATTCGCATCGAGCGCATTACGCATTTTTCGAATTTTGGCCCCCTTCCAGGGACCTTGATTTTTACCCGCTGGCACTGACGTCTTTTAATCGGTCAGTCGGTTAGCGCGGTCGATGCTTATAATAAAAACCACACACACATCACACACCCACACAGCTGCAGACACCATGCCCTGCGCGGCGGGCAGTCGCTGCACGGCTGTCCCCGATCACACGCCAGGCCCGCCGGCGTTCACAAATCACCAATGTAGAGGAGTCTGCGGGCAGTACCTCCATGGCACCTGTGGTGTGGTGGACCCTCAGGGCACCTCCGAGATGCATCGCATCTGCCACAACTGCCTGTCCTCCCGTTGGTTTCATGGGTTTGTGTTATTTGTACGGCGAGTGATGTTTTGATATTGTGAAGCTCTTTTTATTTCGTTGACTTGTGTTTTTGTCGGGGGTTTAAATCGATGGGATGAGAGGTATGAGGGTGTTATGTTGAGGGTACGGTGGGAGGAAGGGGTGCATTGTGTAAACGGGTGCGTCGTTCTTGAGTGCTGGTGCATTCCTTGCCTCGTGTTGTCCTTCTAGAAGAGGTGCGACTATGAAACACAGCTATAAAACAACTCAACCAACAGTACCCAACACCTCTCGTCTGCACCTTCCCAACATAACATATATGAGACACACAGGATAGCTACCAAACTGATTTGTTGAGCCTGTTACCCACAGGGGAGATGTCCCTATATGCTGTCTGGGAAATCGTAGACATAAAGGTATTTTTCTCTGACGCTATGATTCCGTTGATAATCTGTCTATGACTCTTTTCTATAATAGAGATCTATGGTCCATGACCTTAAAAAAAAAGGGTTGGACGGTAACTGAGATTCTCCTTCTTCTAATTTCAGCATAAATTGGAGGTAGACTTGTGAGTGTTGTTTTGAGGAAGCTGGCGGGTCTCATTCTACGCAGGCGTGCATGGCACATGCGGGGACGGATCAGGACAGGGCCCTCTCCACAAGCCCTTCATCGTACACCCATCCGATTGCTCGAGCGTCTACTGGACTCGCACTCGGCGTGCGCTCTAACAGCATCACAGGCGGGGCTGGTGGCGAAGGAAGGAGGCCCGATCATCAACGGTGAGTCGAGAAAAATTGAAACATGACCATCGGAGATCTGGGGTGTTATGGTCTAATCGTCGAGCATGCCCTCCGTGTCGCCCTCACGCTCGACTCTCNCCGTTTGTCAAATGGTGTAGTGTATGCAGAGCAATGTCCAAACTTAGCACCCACATCCGCCACAGGTCAACATCCGACCGCTTGTGCACTCTAAAATGGCCTGTTTTTGGCCTGTTTTGTCATGCGGTGCTGCACACATGGGAACGCTGTTCCCCTGCGGTCGAACAGCTGATCCCCGAAGCACAACCTCCCTAACATGGTGCGCAGCATAACCCCAGTAGAACCACCACCTAGTTGTGCACACCTTGTCATGAAGCCGCAGGCGTCTAACGCTTTAGTTGTTACTTCGTGTCTCAATGTTGCCACACACAGACCGTCTGCGACTCAAGATAACACCCCCCTCCACACCTATTCTAAAATCAACGATAGTACTTGACGACGAAGCGACGACGAAGAGGACGCAACAACGAAACGATACGTTAGCTATGAGCTCACGAACAGACGTAGACAAAGTCTATGTTTTCCGCGCTACGGCTCTTTCTGCTGTTGTTGATTAGTCGAGCTTTGAAAATGGTCCAGAAGGTAGTGCGTTATCTTGCGTCGTGTACGTTGGGAGTGTCACACCTCGGGCGGCAGCTGCTGTTCTCTTACATACATAGGGACGCACCTGCTACTTCCGGCGTCCATTCAAGTGTTCTTCAGCAGTCCTTGTGCTGCGTTGTCATCTACTATTAGGCAGCATGAAGCGTTGGGTCTACACGTCATAGGCATGCAGCCGCCTTCATAGAATGACATGTCCCTCCCCGGGTTGATATTGAAGTTTCTGGTTTGAACAGGGTGTGACATGGAAGCGACTGCTCTGCGCGATGTGGTCTCCGGATCGAACGAGGGAACAGGACCATCGCCAGTAAAGCCAAGAGACGTCTTCATGGTGAGCTTACGTACACCCTCCTTTTCTTGCGTTAGTCGTATCTACTGCTTCTGTTCCTCCTCTGGCGTTTCAAGAGGTTGTAGAGAAAGACGATTTTTCAACTTTTCCTCTTCAATCTTTTCCAAGCGCTTTCTTCTCCTTCTGGGAGAGATCAAAGTACTCCTGTAGTCAGCCCATGTGTGTCATGTAATGACTTCCCCTCCCTTTGTTGTATGCTCTCTCTCTCGTAGGGCGTGGATTCACCCGCAGAGGATAGCGACGACCGCGCGCATGGCGGTGACTCCCCAACGCCTATCCAAGGTACCTAGCGTCATTTTAGTTTTGCTTTACACACTACGGGTTATGACCCTTTTCAACGCCTGCTGTGGCCGTCGTTGTTTGTCCCTTCATAAAATAAAAGATGAATTCTTGTCCCTGCTCGGTACCTCACAGCATCTCTGCCGTGGTCTCGCCGCCGCGGACGTCGTGCATGGCGACAGACTTGTTCAATATATCGAGGAGAAAAATGAGGGACACGTTTAAAACGAGGGACACATTCTTCAGAGCACGATACAGCAGATAATCAGGTCTTCGAGTTCATGCGACCGCACATGTTCGATCTTATTCTAGGTTTCTCGGAGGATTTGGACGATGACAACATGGTCGGAGAAGACTCGGACGATGAGGTGGAACAGGATTTGGAGATTCTTTCCCCCGTGGCTGCTATGCTGAACGAGCACTCTGGACAGGTGAGAACAAATATCCAGGTGTGGTAGGTATGCGGATCGGCATGCAAGGTAGGGTTACGCATGGTGTCGTGGCAAGCGGGTTCGAAAACATCGTCTTCTATCTACCAATAGATGATCCAGACATGTGCTAGTTCAGAGATCCGCCTGGCGCCGGCCGCTAGCTGCCTGCGAATGCCCACAGACTCTGGACAGCAACGTCACCAATGTGTCGCTTCGATCTGCGAAGATACGCGCTTACTCGTACTCACTCGTGCTTGGTTTCCTCAAAACCTTCTATGTCCGATTTTCAGGAAGCCGCTGTTGAAGTGCGGGACGACGCCGTGGAAAACCTACGGGCGGGTCCTCGTGATGTAGCGTTAGTGAAAAAAAGCGTAACCGCCGAGCTAGACCATTTCCCTTGGCTGCAAAGTATTTG